ATCTGGACCAAGGAAAAGATATTTTATTAACAAGTTTTAATTCTCATGGAACCTACATAATTTTGGGTGTTTAAGCTTAAAAGAAAGGAGAGGTTGAGTGTTAACAGATGTGGTGACAAAGGCCTTGTGGCCTGCCCCTTACTCTCTTCTAAGCCTTTCATGGTCTAGAAAGCGTCTTGAATTGATGTCGTGTTACATGCATGTTCATATAATCATGTCTATACTTTAGTTTCTGGAATGAATGAATGAATGAATGACTTGTGATGACCTTCCTAAACTGAGTCATTATTTTTCCATCTGAGTGATGGCTTTGTTTTTTATTTAGTGGCAAGAAGTAGGGGGTTATTTGTTATTATAGGGGTTAGTGTTGAGAGGGTCCTCAGATGTCAGCTAGTCCAGCTTTCCAGCCAGTACAGGAGTGCCTTATGCAGGAGATTAAACTGATGGTTACCCAGCCTTTGCTGGAATACTTAAAGTGATGGGAAACTTAACTACCTTTTCCAGTGTTATCATGGTTTTATTAAGTAGCATCTGCTGTTTAAGTCAAAGTGTGCCTTCTGGTTACTATACCTTCAGTCCTACTTCTTCCCTCTGAAGTAATACATAATCAGTCATTTTATTTTCCTCATTGACATCCCAGCCCAGGAATATTTTTCTCCTCTCTGAGCTTTAATTTTCTTGTCTGTAACATGATTTGGTTACCTGACCAGGATTGAGGTTTAAGAACAACCTGGACAATCGTGACCTTAGGCAAAACCCTTTTCACGTCTCAGTATTAGTATCTTAGTTTCATCTCTGGTGTATAATATAATGGGGAAAATGGCAGTGTGTGTCCATTGGTTTGGGAACCTTCATAGGTACTTTCCAGTTGATGTTCTTGCCATTAATAAATGAATTAATTCATTTCTTCATTGAACATTTATTGACCATTCCCTATGTGCCTGGCACTTGCTTGGGTCTTAAGTGAATATGAAAACAGGGAATACGACAGATACCTTCCCTGCCTGACTGAGGCTTAAGTTCTCTCCCCTAGATCTTTTTACTTTGAGGTATAAATGCTTTTCTAAAATTTTGTTTTATGTTTCTAAAAAATTTTTATTTTATGTTGGAGTAAAGTTGATTTACAATGTGTTAGTTTGAGGTATGCAGCAAAGTGATTTAGTTATACATATACCTATATCAGTTCTTTTTTCAGATTCTTTTCCCACATAGGTTATTACAGAGTATTGAGTAGAGTTCCCTGTGCTATACAGTAGGTCTTTGTGATTATGTCTTTTATATCTAGTAGTGTGTATATGTTAATCCTAACTTCCTAATTTATCCCTTCCCCGACCTTTCCCCTTTGGTAACCATAGGTTTGTTTGCTAAGTCTGTGAGTCTGTTTCTGTTTTGTAAATAAGTTCATTTGTATCATTTTTTAGATTCCACATAAAAGTGATATCATATGATATTTGTCTTTGTCTAACTTCACTTAGTATGATCATCTCTAGGTCCGTCTGTGTTGTTGCAAATGGCATTATTTCATTCTTTTTTTATGGCTGAGTAATTTTCCATTGTATATATGCACCACATCTTCTTCATTCATCTCTTGATGGCCATTTAGGCTGCTTCCATGTCTTGGCTATTGTATATGGTGCTGCAAAGAATATGGGGTTGCATGTATCTTTTCAAAGTATGGTTTTCTCCAGATATATGCCCAGGAGTGGGGTTGCTGGATCATATGGTATCTCTATTTTTAGTTTTTTAAAGAACCTCCATACTGTTCTCCATAGTGGCTGTACCAATTTACATTCCCACCAACAGTGTAGGAGGGTCCTAGGAGGGTTCCCCTCTTTCCACACCCTCTCCAGCATTTATTGTTTGTAGACTTAAAATTTATTTATTTATTTATTTATTTGGCTGCACCGGGTGTTAGTTGTGGCACGCGGGATCTTCATTGCCACACACAGGATCATCGTTTCAGCATGAGGGATCTTTTAGTTGTGGCACGTGGGATTTTTAGTTGTGGCATGCGGGATCTTTAGTTGTGGCATGTGGGATCTAGTTCCCTGAGCAGGGATTGAACCCAGGCTCCCTGTGTTGGGAGAACAGAGTCTTAGCCACTGGATCACCAGGGAAGTCCCCTATCGTTTGTGGACTTTTTGATGATGGCCATTCTGACCCGTGTGAGGTGATACCTCATTGTAGTTTTGATTTGCATTTCTCTAATAATTAGTGATGTTGAGCATCTTTTCATGTGTCTCTTGGCCATCTGTATGTCTTCTTTGGAGAAATGTCTCTTTAGATCTTTTGTGCATATTTTGATTGGGTTGTTTGTTTTCTTGATACTGAGCTGCATGAGCTGATTGTATATTTTGGAGATTAATCCCTTGTTGGTCACATGGTTTGCAAATATTTTCTCCCACTCGGTGGGTTGCGTTGCGTTGCGTTTTGTTTATGGTTTCCTTTGCTGTGCAAAAGCTTTTGAGTTCAGTTAGGTCCCATTTGTTTATTTTTATTTTCATTACTCTAGGAAGTTGATCCAAAAAGATATTCCTGAAATTTATGTCAAAGAGTATTCTGCCTATGTTTTCTTCTAAGAGTTGGATAGCATCTGGCCTTACATTTGGGTCTTTAATCCGTTTTGAGTTTATTTTTGTGTATCGTGTTAGAGAATCTTCAAATTTCGTTCTTTTACATGTAGCTGTCCAGTTTTCCCAGCACCACTTACTGAAGAGGCTGTCTTTTCTCCATTGTATATTCTTGCCTCCTTCATCATAGAGTAATCGGCCATAGGTACATGGGTTTATTTCTGGGCTTTCTGTATCCTGTTCCACTGATCTGTAAGTCTGTCTCTGTGCCAGTGCCATACTGTTTTGATTATTGTAACTTTATAGTATAGTCTGAAGTCAGGGAGCCTTATTCCTCCAGCTCTGTTTTTCTTTCTCAAGATTGCTTTGGCTATTCGGGGATCTTGTGTGTTTCCATATAAATTGTAAGATTTTTTTGTTCTAGATCTGAAAAAATGCCACTGGTAACTTATTTCATAGGGGTTGCATTGAATCTGTAGACTACCTTGGATCGTGTAGTCATTTTTTTTTTTTTTGCGGTACACGGGCCTCTCACTGTTGTGGCCTCTCCCGTTGCGGAGCACAGGCTCCGGACGTGCAGGCTCAGCGGCCATGGCTCACGGGCCTAGCCGCTCTGCAGCATGTAGGATCTTCCTGGCCCGGGGCACAAACCCGTGTCCCCTGCATCAGCAGGCGGACTCTTAACCACTGCGCCACCAGGGAAGCCCCATATAGTCATTTTGACAATATTGTTCTTCCAGTCCAAGAACATGGTGTATCTTTCCATCTGTTTGTGTCACCTTTGATCTCTTTCATCAGTGTCTTACAGTTTTTGGAGTACAGGTGTTTTGCCTCCTTAGGTAGGTTTATTCCTAGGTATTTTATTCTTTTTGATGTGATGGTACATGGGATTGTTTCCTTAATTTCTCTTTCTGCTCTTTTGTTGTTAGTGTATAGAAATGCAGCAGATTTCTGTGTTAATTTAGTATCTTGCAACTTTACCAGATTCACTGATTAGCTCTAGTGGTTTTCTGGTGGCATCTTTAGGATTCTCTATGTGTAGTATCACGTCATCTGCAAACAGTGACAGTTTTACTTCTTCTTTTGCAATTTGTATTCCCTTTCTTTCTTTTTCTTCTCTGATTGCCGTGGCTAGGACTTCCAAAACTATGTTGAATAAAAGTGGTGAGAGTGGACATCCTTGTCTTGTTGATGATCTTAGAGGAAATGCTTTCAGCTTTTCACTGTTGAGGATGATGTTTGCTGTGGGTTTGTCGTTTATGGCCTTTATTATGTTGAGGTAGGTTCCCTCTATGCCCACTTTCTGGAGAGTTTTTATGATAAATGGGTGTTGAATTTTGTGAAAAGCTTCTTCTGCAGCTATTGAGATGATCATGTAGTTTTTATTCTTCAGTTTGTTAATGTGGTGTATCACACTGACTTGTGGATATTGAAAAATCCTTGCACCTCAGGGATAAATCCCACTTGATCATGGTGTGGGTATCCTTTTAATGTATTGTTGGATTTAGTTTACTAGTATTTTGTTGAGGATTTTTTGTGTCTGTGCTCATCAGTGATATTGGCCTGTAATTTTCTTTTTTTTGTTGTATCTTTTTCTGGTTTTGGTATCAGGGTGATGGTGGTTGCTTAGAATGAGTTTGGGACTGTTCCTTCCTCTGCAATATTTTGAAATAGTTTCTGAAGGATAGGTGTTAACACTTCTCTAAATGCTTGATAGGATTCGCCTGTGAAGCCATCTGGTCCTGGACTATTGTTTGTGGGAGGTTTTAATCACAGTTTCAATTTCAATACTTGTGATTGGTCTATACATATTTTCTGTTCTTTCCTTGTTCAGTCTTGGAAGATTGTACCTTTCTAAGAATTTGTCCATTTCTTCTAGGTTGTCCATTTTATTGGCATACAGTTGATTGTAATAGTTTCTTATGATCCTTTGTATTTCTGTGGTGTCTGTTGTAACTTTTCCTTTTTCATTTCTAACTGATTTGAGCCCTCTCCCTTTTTTTCTTGATGAGTCTGGCTAAAGGTTTATCAGTTTTGTTTATCTTTTCAAAGAAACACCTTTTAGTTTCATTGATCTTTACTGTTGTTTTCATCATCCCTATTTCTTTTATTTCTGCTCTGATCTTTATGCTTTCTTTCCTTCTACTAACTTTGGGTTTTGTTGCTTTAGTTGCTTTAGGTGTAAGGTTAGGTTGTTTATTTGGGCTTTTTTTTTGTTTCCTGAGGTAAGGTGGTATTGCTATAAACTTCCCTCTTAGAACTGCTTTTGCTGCATCACATAGGTTTTGGATCATCATGTTTTGTTTTCATTTGTTTGTAGAGGGTTTTTTGACTCCTCAAAATAAAATCTTGTTAGTCTCCTTTTACTCCTCTGAGTGTTTTTTGTTTTCTAACTAATTCAGTCTTTAACAGTATGTCTTTGATTTGTAGATATATGGAGTCTGGGAGTGATCCTTTTCATGTTGGTGTGTGGGCAGCCACCATTTCAAGAGGCCAATGACAGTGAAACATTGACAATGATCATGGATTGCAAATATACAGTACCATCCCACGTATCTAAAGGGTGTAAAGAGTAAGTAAAAGAAAAAAAAAAGTATGTGGGTATCTTTGTTCATTTTAATTTTTGAACCCAATATTTCCGCTCTTGTTAAGTATGTTTTGGGGAGTTAACCATAGAATATGATTGAAATTTAATATTGGAGTATGGAATGTATTAGTCTGTTTTTCAAATATGCCAGTTTTCAAGAAACCCTTTTTATGCCTCTTCAGCCTCCAGGAGAAGTGGGTTACTTTCACTTGAAGAATTACCATAAGAACTACTTTCTCTTTTTGCACCTGGAATTATTTGACATTCCAGAGAACAGTTAGGGAGTTTTCTTTCCTGAAGTAGACCATCAGCACACCATTTTAGGATTTACATAGCATGCCTCATGATTTTGTTCATGTACTTCTCTCCCCAGGTGACTGAAGAGCTCTGTTTTGGTTCATGTGACTATGGAAAGAAGTATATGCAGGCTGATTACTTGGAATTTAAAGTACTATATATATAGTACTGTGATATGTGTAGTGATAAATTCATAATGGAGTAAAAGAACTGTTGGAAGTTCAGTATTTCTTTGATACTGTGGTGATACTTTAAATAAGGTCACCTGAGATGATAGCTACTTAAAGGATTTTGATAGAGTAATGAAGTTTTTAGTTTCTCCCATTAGCTGATAAGAAGGAAATCTGAGCTTGAGGAACCTTTTCTCCAAGTGGATCCCCATCTTAGGCCATAGTTAAGAATTTAGGAATTCCAACTCTCTGGATTCAGCTACTGGTTTCTCAGTTTACTAATGATGTGAGAATGGTGGAACATACCTTACAGGGTTATTGTGGATTAAATGACTTAATGTATATAAAGCTTGTAGCTCAGTCTTTAGCACATAAGTAGCGCTCAAGATGAAGATTGATGACTCTCCCCCTCCTCCTCCCCCTTATACCCTTACTATTATTATTCTCTACCCCAGGAAGCAGGCTGCTCTCTGGGGGTATATGTTGTGTGCATGTTAGATGTTTGTAATTCAAGGAGTATCTCCATAGCCCCTTCTGAAAAAACTAAGACAGAGTAACTTATTTTTATATTGACATTTATCATTCAAAAGAATGGATAAAATGTGTATGTAATAAAATGAACCCATTATCCGGCTTAAGATAAAGAACGGTTCTAATATTTTAGAGGCCTCTTCTTGGTGTCTCCCTCCTAGAGGGATTATCTTTGATAATCAAAGGACCATTCGATTTCTACTTTTTCCTGCGTTTTTCCTGTCAGTTTTGGTAAGTTTTGTTTCTTAAGGAGCTTGTCCATTTTATCTAAATTTTCAAATTTATTGGCCTCAAGTATTTATAATATCCTCTAATTATATTTTTATTTTTTATTTTTTTAAAATTTTATTTTTTATTTTGCGGTACGCGGGCCTCTCATTGCTGTGGCCTCTCCCGTTGTGGAGCACAGGCTCCGGACGCGCAGGCTCAGTGGCCATGGCTCACAGGCCTAGCCGCTCTACGGCATGTGGGATCTTCCCGGACCGGGGCACGAACCCGTGTCCCCTGCATCGGCAGGCGGACTCTCAACCACTGCGCCACCAGGGAAACCCTCTGATTATATTTTTAAAGCCTATGAATTAGTGGAGTTGTTGCCCTTTTTCATTCTCATACTGATTTTTTTGCCTTCTCTATTTTTGCATTCTCTGTTTTTGTCTTGATCAGTCTTACATGAGGTTTTGTTCATTTTAATCTTTTTCAAAGAACTATCTTTTGTCTTTATTAATTTACTATTATATTTTTTGTTTTATGCTGTTGATATTCTTTTGGCTGTATTGTTTCCTCCTGCCTGCTTAATGGGCTAATTCTTTTGTTCTTTTTCTTAAGCGGGGGTTTCAGATAATACATCTTCCTTTTCTAAGGTAGTAGTTAAGGCTATAAATTGCCTCTCAGTACCATTTCAGCTGCATCCCATTAGTTTTGATTAATAGTCCTTTTGTTATTCAGTTCTGATTATTTTATAGGTTCTATGGGTTTATTTAACCTTTTACTTTCAGGGGGGTATTTTAAATTTCCAAATGTGTAGCTTTACTAATTAACTTTTTGTTATTCATTTCTAACTTAATTGCATTGTGATCCAAGAATATAGTCTATCTGCTACTAGTTTTTTTAAAATTGGTAAGGCTTCCTGTGGCTTAGCATGGAGTCAGTTTTTGTAAATAATCCTTTTGTTCTGGAAAAGAATGTATGTTTTCTAATTGTTGGGGTCAGAGTTCTATATAAGTCCTTAAGACTAAGCTTGTTTATTATGATGTTTAAAATTACTTCTGAGTCTTTTGACTGCTTGATCTATCTATCACTTACTGAGATATTCTTCCACTACATGGAAGTATATTATAGGCAAAAAAAAAAAAAAAATAGTGATTACCCCCATTAATACAACATTGTAAATGTATTTTTTTTATTCTTGAAAGTCTCTCAGTGTTTGCTTTGGGTGTTTCGGGGGAATGTTATTAGGTCCAAACAAGTTGAAAAATGTTGTGTCTTGCTGGTGAATTGAACCTTTGTATCACTATTTATCTCTAATAATGCTTTGGGCTTTAAAGTCAGTCTATGTTGTCTAGTTTTAGTTAACCATTCCAGTTGTCTTTTGGTTAGCATTTATGTGCTATATAGGTTTCCATTCTTTTACTTTAAATCTTTTATTGTCTTGTTTTTAAGTACATCTTTTTTTAACAGATGGGAGCTGGATTTTTGATTAATCCCATCTGAGCATTGTCTTTTAACTGGGGAGTTTATTCCATTTATTTTTATTGTGTTCACTGGTAGAAGTAGATGTATTTGATGTCTTTGCATTCTGATTTTGCCATCGTGTCTTTTAGTTCTTACAAGTGGTACCTTGTTTCCTTTGTAGTTTTTGACTGCGAGGTCAGATTTCTTATAAAATGATGTGGCAGTTCTTTTAAGTTACATTCCCTAGAGAAACAGTTTGCATTTGCTTTTCTACTAGTTGCCCATGGGCACGTCCAGCCTGAAACCTCTTAAAATTAACTTTTTCACTGTGTGTATCATACGGATATACTTTCATTAATTTGGACCCCAAACTTGAGAGAGGACCAGCTTGTAGTTAGAAGTTCTTAGAAGAAATTCCCCCATCTCACCTCCACAGCACTGTCGAGGCAGGCAGATTTCCCTCTTGACATCTTAGCAGTAGGTTTGTTTCTTCTCGTTCATCTTCACACTGAAGCTGGGGTCCCAGTTCTTTGCAAGGCTTCTAGTTGCATCCCCCACTTTCAGTAGGCCGTACATGTTATATTCTGGTGGTATTCTGTTTCGTGTACTCAGTGTGGAAACAGAAAAAAGCAGAAACAATCAGGCCAAGGCCAACTTTGTCATTTGCTCCTAAGAGTCTTGCTTTAACTCTGTTTTTACCTGCTGAGTAGTTCGTCTGTCCATGTTTCTGTCTGCCCTCCCTCCCTTCCTTCCTGCCAACACAATGCCTTTAAACAAAATATATGTCTAAAAATATATGTCATTCTGGTTGCTTTCATCAGGATGGTCATTCATTCTTCTGGAAACAGAGGTTGGCTCATGTACCCTATTCTGTATGTCGTCGCTGATCATTGTATCTGATTCCGGTATGCCACCGTGCCACAGTTAATTCAGGGACAGACGTTGGTACCTAGAGTTAATTCTAGGTGATAGGAAACTGCATTTGTGTGTTTGGCTTGTCAGTATGTCTGGTGGTTGTGATTTTTTATTTTATGAATCTGATGGCACTTTCTTTATTCCCATCTGCCCCACCATCACCTCTAGTGGACGTAATGAAATTGATGGTATAAGTTTAGGAAACAATTCTGATAAATACAGTAACCCACCGTTACTAATCCCTGACAGCAGTTTGCTTTAACAATGGACTTACCTTCCTTTCCAGCCTGATCACAAGGATGCTACAGAGAGATCCCAAGAGAAGGGCCTCTTTAGAAGAGATTGAAAACCATCCTTGGCTTCAGGGAGTGGACCCTTCCCCAGCCACGAAGTATAACATCCCCCTCGTGTCATATAAAAACCTCTCGGAAGAGGAGCACAACAGCATCATTCAGCGCATGGTGCTCGGGGACATAGCGGATCGGGATGCCATTGTCGAGTATGTCGGCGCTCATCAGTACAGGGGCTTTGGGCTTAGGGTTCTTGGGATGGGCTCTTTTCTTAACGTGTCAGGGCTTGTGGACACTGTGTAATGGATAGGGTTGCCAGTTGGCAGGGGTTATGTCATTTATCTCTAGAGTTTCTGGCCCAGTGCCTGGCTCATAGGTTTTGTTGGTCTTTTGTTTTTATTTTTGTACTAGTGAACAGTGAGTCCTGTGGCCTTTCTCCCTTCTTACAGAAGTGGATTGGAACAGGCTGTTTTATATCCCAGTACATGCCTTGTCCATTGCTGTATCCTCTTAATTCTTGGGTCTCCCTCTGGTCCCCATAAGGAAGCAGGGACACTCAAGGGGGCGACACCACAGTTCCTCAAAATCAGGGGTTGCTATATGCGCCTAGTCACACATTTTTGTAAATAAAGTTGTAGTGGCCCACAGCTGAGCCCATTTGTTTACATGTTGTCCATGGCAGCATTGTGCTGCAGTATCAGCGTCATTGCGAGATGGACCATGTTACCTACAAAACTCAAAATATTTACTGTCTGGCTCTTTAGAGCCCTTGCTGCAGTAACCTGGAACCCACGAGATGCACAAGTTGTTAGTTACATTTTTTAAAACCAAAGACAGTTTTTTATAACCTAAGAAGTTTGGAATCAGGGATAATGTAAAGATGCAGTTGCTTTAACAGTGCTACGATTCATTTCTGTAAGAGGTCCTGTCTGTAAAAATATGAAGCGTTTCCACAAATGGAAAGTCAAAAGTTATTTAACCCATTGAATGAAATAGTTGGATATGATGGAAAGAGGATATACTCTCTGGGGCAAAAAAGAGGTTCCCATCGGGAGGGCCACTCTGGCCTGGCTGAGTGATCTGACCCAGGTACCTGTCCTCGGGGAAGAGGAGGCTGCAGGCTGGACTTACCTCTGCAGCGTGGCAGACTGTCACACGTGGCACCTGAGAAGGTCTGGTCCCTGAGAAGGGTGGTGTCTGTATAAAGGACATGTATCTTTAGGGTACACTGGAAAGAAGGGTTTACAAAACTAATCCTCCTTTTGGTTGAAGTACAGATTTCTTCAGGTTTCTGAGTGCATTCTCAGTTTTCACAGATTGACCTAAAGACACAGAGAAGTGCAGGACACTCGCTCTTTCTGCCAAGGACGACGCTCACTTTAGGAATGTGTGGAAAATGATTTTTCACTTGTGAGTGAATAAAAAAGGCTATTTGCATCGCCCTGAATTGGCTTAATATCTAAAAATGAATAAATACATGCAGTGGTGTAGTAGAGAACTATTTAATTCATGTGAATTCAATTATCAATCCAGAAGGAGAGGTGATGCCTCAGGTGACGCCCTGAGCCCGAGTCCTCCCGCTGGTCTCAGCCAAGTCTTTCTTGCTGCCCACAGTACGAGCAGCTCCTCGCTGCAGGGTGATTCCTGAGTTCTTAGACACATTTGTTGGTCCCCTTAACACAAGTCCACAGCTCTACCCAGTGCTCAGCTGAGGAAACCACTCTGAGAAGTCACTGTGGCTCCGAATTTCACCTCGGGCTCTTCCTTTAGGACCTCTCACCTCAGCCCCCCACTTGCCCCCATTAGCTGAGGCCCCACCGTGTCCGTTTTGTGAGGAGAGTCTCCTGTATCGTTTCCTCCCGAAGTGTTCATTGCATATGTTCGCTAACTACAGAAAGGTCCTGAAAAGCATAATTACATATTTCTGGGCCTTGTGGATCCTCTGTGGCATTCCTCCCGTGTCCCACTACCGGCCAGCTGCAGGAGGGCAGGCAGGCTGTGTGCTCCAGCACAGCGCCGGCCAGACTACGGACTCAGATAGCATTACTTTTGAGGTGGATGAATGAACGCGTAGATTGTATTCAAAGAAGAGGCTAATGACATGCTTTCAATGTATTAATAATTCATTCATGTCGGAAAATGCCAATAAATACAAAGAGTATAAAAATAAAAGCTTTTTCTAATTTTTCTGATTGATACTAGTGTTTCAGTGTACATTCATACAACTCATTTCATAGTTCTGCTGGAAGCAAGTGTAATGGAAATAAACACTGACACACATTATATTTTTGGATAATGTGTACATTCTTGGAAACTTCATTATTTTATGCATCTAAAATCAACATCCAGCTCAGCTGCCATCAGCATTTTGGGTTTTTCTTACTAATTGAACACTTTTATGAAGTTGTGTCTTAGAATTTTAAGAATGATCTACTAGGTTTTTTTCCCTCATTTGTGTGTGTGTGTTGGGTTTTATTTTCCCCGTAATTTTAAAGATTCCAGGTCATTGGATTTTATTTGCTTGTACTTAAAAAAAAAAAAAATCCAGTTCTGCTTGTGAAAAAACAAACCTGTGAATGTGGCTTATATTCACTCTCTCTTATTTCCTCAGAGCCCTGGAAACCAACAGGTATAACCACATCACAGCCACTTACTTCTTGCTTGCTGAAAGGATCCTGAGGGAAAAGCAAGAGAAAGAAATACAGACCAGGTCTGCAAGCCCTAGCAATATCAAGGCCCAGTTTAGGTGAGAAAAAAATCTTCACTGATTTTAGTAAGTTAACGTTTTGAAATAGTGAACTTTCTTTGATGTTTCCTAAGTCTGTGGGGGTGGGAGTATAAAGAGTGGTGACAGCCTCGCTGGAGGGGCCACCTGTGGGCCCTCCACGTGAGTGGGGGTCCTGGTTCCTTGGTCACCAGGGATGCCTTCCTCTCTCGGGCTTAGCGGAGACAGGGGCTGCAGTTGCTGGCTTGGCCACAAAGACACCTGCGGAGAAGCAGCAGCCTCAGTCTAGAGTGCCAGCTATTTTCACTAAGCTCTTCCAGATCGGACACGTGTAAATGTGTTATTTTCTTTAATTTTTCATTCTAGGAACAAGGCCAGGTTTTCCCTCAGTATTTGACATAATTTTAAAAAACATACAGAGCATGTCTGTGGCATGATGCTGTCTTAGGATTTCAGGAGTTTGGCAGTCACATCAGCTAGTTGATTTGTCAGCTGCTTGATCTTGGGAGGTCATTTAACCTCTCTCTGACTCAGCTTCCTGTGAAGTGGGAGTAGTAATCCTGTTTACCTCTTGGGGTTTGTGGTGATGGCTAAACGAATTAATATACGTGAAGTGCTTTGAACTGGGCTTCACGTGTTTGCCGTCATTGTTGAGAACGTTTCCCCACCACACCACCTTTGGTAAAGCAGTGACTGTGCTCGGCTCCCCTGTGTTCTCTTTCCCCTTCCTTCCTTCCCCAACTCTCCCCCTTCCCCCGCCCCCTCCTCTTCTCCCCCTACCTTCCTACTCCTCTTTTTCCTCTGCCGTATTAGCTTTTTTCCATTTAATATCAAAGCTTGGGAAGGGTTACTTTTTTTGGTCACCATTATGAAAATTTATTTAGACTTTATCTTTATTCAGATGAAGTAATCCATGGAATTATAGTGATTCAAAAACAGAAGGAGGGACTTCCCTGGTGGTCCAGTGGTAAAGAATCCGCCTTCCAATGCAGGGGATGAGGGTCAATCCCTGGTCGGGGATCTAAGGTCCCACGTGCCGTGGGGCAACTAAACCTGTGCGCCACAACTACCGAGCTCACGTTCCTCAACTAGAGAGCCTGCGTGCTGCACACTACAGAGCCCACACGCTCTGGAACCTGCATGCCATAACTACAGAGCCTGTGTGCTGCAACTAGGGAGAAGCCTGCGCGCTGCAACGAAATATCCCACATGCTGCAACGAAGATCCCGTGTGCTGCAACTAAGTCCCGACGCAGCCTAAATAAATAAATATAAAATAAGTAGTTAAAAATTTAAAGAAACTAGAAGGATGCTCTTGGTTCTAAATAATTCTCTACTTGTACATAGCTATATCAACATGTGTGAATATGTAACAGTAATTACTACTTAAAAGAGGAAGAATTACCATTGGATTTTAAATTACTTGCAGTCACCTTGCCATGTGTATAGGTTGTTGCTTGGGATGGAGCAACAGAGAAGAGACAAGAAAACATTCCCAGGTGACCAAAGACTAAATATTTAGAAGTCTAGTTTAATGGGAAGATGAATTTGGTAACTGCATCTATATCCTGGACATATTCTTGCATAATGAAAACTAGACACTCTGTCTGGTGTCAGCTTGGAAGAAGACTGGGCCCCAGGGAGCATGGGGACCCTTGCACATGGGACAGACCAGGAGAGTGACAGTGAGTGGTTAGGGTCAACCTAGTCGTGACCCGAGCCCTCCAGTGTGAAAGAGTGGCTCCAGAGCCATCACCGCATGCTGCGCCACCAGGCCTGGAGCCACTCCAGTGTTTTGGAGAAGGGAATATTTGGAATTGAACTGTTTGATTTTTAGGGGAACAGATCGGAGCTCAATCTGAAATTGAGCAGATGTGTAAATGCATTAAACTGGTTTTACTGTATCATAGAAATTACAAAGCCAACAGTAGTTACAGAGAAATATCAGAGCCTTCCGTGCACTTTCCTTTTACCCACCTGGGGATTACAGAGTGGAGATGCTGTCGGGGCCTGTCCTCCTCCTGGGGCCCAGGGCCCACTGGCAGGTGGTGGATGTCTGCTTACTTGCCGTCTCTTTGTTGTCAAAACGCTGCACCCTAACTTGGTTCCATTGCTGGGTGTGCCTTGGGGTCAGAGTGACTTGGGGTGCAGAAACGTGGTTGGCGTCTAACCAGCAGAGTTATTTGTGGGGCACGGGTAGGTCAAGTCAGGGAGCGCGAGCCCCAGAGAGCAGATACGCTCTTTGGGTCCTGCCAGCATGGGATGGAAACACGCGTATTCTGTTAGAAGAGCTTTGTGAAGTCCTCTGGGAGCTGAACTCCACACGGGTGGGACCAGTGCCCGCATCCTTCCAGAGAGAAACTAGGAAGTAAGGAAAACCACAGAGGCCTGACTGCAAAGGTGCCATCCGTTCGATAGGCAGTCATTCAGAGGGCTTCCTGGGTTGCAGAGTGAAGCCACTGCTCTGGGGGTTTAGTAACCACTGAACTCAGCCTAGATGTCACTGTCTTCAAGCCCGTGTGGCCTTGGGCAGGTTGCTTACACTCTGTGTGTTTTGATTTCTTCACTGTCAAGGGAGGATGGGATTGTGGTGGGATTAAATGAATTAATTGCTGTCAGGCTCTCTCCACAGTGCTGGCTCTAGTAAGTTCTCAGTGTGAACTGTGCTGTCAGTGTGACTCGTTTATAGTTCTTGTTAGCAGTCTTTCTTATCTTCCGTTAAGATAAGCCGTGATCTTCTAACAGTGTTGTGCTCATTAAGTCTAGCACAGCGTTGGGGCCAGATATGTTCTTAATAAATGTGAGCTGTTTAACAATCTGATTTCCTCGTATAAATAAGAGCCGTTGGTTCAGAAGTGGAGATAGCGTGTCTGGTACAGCTGCAGCGCTTAGTAACCATCTGGTTTCTGGGGGTGGGTTCTGAGGGTGGTTTTGGCTTTCTCTTGGGGTTGGTGGGGAGAGAAGCGCCTCCGGCACATGTGTGCCCTGCCCCCCTCGAGTGGACTGGCTGCCGCTCTGGTGGGTCAGACGCACTGTCCGCACCTGCCTCCCACTACAGGGACCCCAGGGTTTGCCAGGGTGACCTTTTGGGTGGCTGCTCTTTGAGGAGCAGCCTGAAAGGAATGTTGTGTGCCGTTTCCTAGGGCCCTGAGGCTCATCTGGAGTTGGTACAGTTGTGTTGTGAGGACAGAGGACTTGTCCAGAGACGCTGCTTGACCTCAGAATCATTGAACACCCAGCTTCTGTAAACTACCAAGCAGTGACCAGCAAACGGACCCACTCCATCCTTGAGAGGAGGAGGCTCCGAGTTGGGGGAAAGAGGTCTGCTGTAAACTCCTATGGGTTTTTTAAGGCTATAGATTTAAATTGGGTTTTATGTCTAGGATAACGTAAGTGGTGTGAAGTGGAAGTGTTAGCGTACCAGTGGCAGTTTCAGTGTCACTGGCGTCTACTGTTCCCCTGAGCAGAGAGGGCAGTTGAGAATTCAAGATGTTTATTCAAAACAGGCTGGAGACCTCACTTTCCAAAGTCTTCCTTGGGCTACCAAGCAGTGTTCTTACTACTACGGTGACTCTGGATTAAGGGATAAAATCAAAGTTTAAATAACAGTGGATTTTGCTGTGCAGGACTCCCGTGTCGGCATTTAAAAATGTATGTATTGGGCTTCCCTGGTGGCGCAGTGGTTGAGAGTCTGCCTGCCGATGCAGGGGACACGGGTTCGTGCCCCGGTCCGGGAGGATCCCACATGCCGCGGAGCGGCTGGGCCCGTGAGCCATGGCCGCTGAGCCTGCGCGTCCGGAGCCTGTGCTCCGCAACGGGAGGGGCCGCAACAGTGAGAGGCCCGCGTACCGCAAAAAAAAAAAAAAGAAAAAGAAAAAAAAGGTATTTAGTTTAGAGGGTGCATATTTTAATTGGTGAAGAAGAGATTTATGTATGCCAGTATTCACTGACTTTCCTGTCCAGTATCATATTTAAATGCAGTAAACTATTTCCATTTGTTTTTGTAAACACCAACTATTAACAGCATCCAGTAAAATCTGGAGGACTGGAAATTTCAGGTGAATTTATTAGCAGTAATATACCTTCAAAGGTTGTGATCTTAAGAGCGGAAGGAGCAAAACCTGTGTTCAGGTTTTGCTTTGGTGATAACTCCCTTGTACTTTCTGGAAAGGTTTTTCTTGTGGTATAAAACATTTCTATAGAAAAGATGTTTGCCCCCTTTTCTGACAACCGTGATGAAGTTTTCATTTGGCCAATAAGCCATAAACTGAACCACGTTTACGTTTCAGAGTAACATTGCCCTTCTAGTGTCCTTGTGATGTTTACAGGATGTTGAATGGGTTTGCAAGGCTGTTTCTTTTTTTCTCTTTCGTTTTCTTTTTTTTTTTTTTTGTAAAGTCTGTGTATTTTGTCCCAGTAGGTTTTATTTAAGGTACTTGGGTAAAGTCTGTGTACCATTACATAGCTTTTCTTTTTTTGTTTTCCTCAATCTGTTACATAGGCAGTCATGGCCAACCAAAATTGACGTGCCCCAGGACCTTGAGGATGACCTCACGGCCACTCCTTTGTCCCATGCGACTGTCCCTCAGTCTCCTGCTCGGGCTGCCGACAGTGTCCTCAACGGCCACAGGAGCAAAGGCCTGTGTGACTCAGCTAAGAAAGACGACCTCCCAGAGTTGGCCGGGCCCGCGCTGTCCACAGGGCCACCCGCCAGCCTGAAACCCGCGGCCAGTGGGCGGAAGTGTCTGTTTCGGGTGGAGGAAGACGAAGAGGAAGACGAGGAGGACAAGAAGCCCATGTCCCTCTCAACACAGGTGGTTCTGCGCCGCAAGCCGTCCGTGACCAACCGCCTGACGTCCAGGAAGAGCGCCCCGGTCCTCAACCAGATATTCGAGGAGGGGGAGTCGGATGACGAGTTCGACATGGATGAGAACCTGCCTCCCAAGCTGAGCCGCTTGAAGATGAACATTGCTTCCCCGGGGACGGTCCACAAACGCTACCACCGCAGGAAAAGTCAGGGCCGCGGCTCCAGCTGCAGCAGCTCGGAGACCAGCGACGACGACTCGGAGAGCCGCCGGCGGCTGGATAAAGACAGCGGCTTCACCTACTCCTGGCACCGCCGGGACAGCAGCGAGGGGCCCCCGGGCAGCGAGGGCGACGGCGGCGGCCAGAGCAAGCCGAGCCGCGGCGGCGGGGGCGCGGACAAGGCCAGCCCCAGCGAGCACAGCGCTGGCGGCGGCGGCCCCGCGGGGGGGTCGGGCGGCGCCCCGGGCGGCACGTCAGGCAGTGCCCGCCGCTGCGCCGGCCCCGGCTCCTCCACGTCCACGCAGCTGGCGGCGCGCGGCGCCGGGGAGCTGGTGGAGAGCCTCAAACTCATGGGCCTCTGCCTCGGCTCCCAGCTGCACGGGAGCGCCAAGTACATTATCGACCCGCAGAGCAGCCTGTCGTTCTCCAGCGTGAAGGTCCAGGAGAAGTCCGCCTGGAAGATGTGCATCGGCTCCGCAGGCGGTGCGGCGCCCGCCCCAGCCGTGGGCGGCATGAAGTTCTTCTCCGACCGCGTGGCGAACACCACCGTGGAGTTGGACCGGATAAAGAGCAAGAATCTGAAAAACAACGTGCTCCAGCTACCTCTGTGCGAAAAGACCATCTCTGTGAACATCCAGCGGAACCCCAAGGAGGGGCTGCTGTGCGCCTCCAGCCAGGCCAGCTGCTGCCACGTCATCTGACCTCGGTGCGCTTCCTGCTCAGAGCGGCGAAGACCGGCTCACTTCACTGGTCCCTTTTCGGTTTTCCTCTTTTAAAGCGGGCAATTATTTATTACTTTTTCATTTGTTCGCCTGACGACTTGACAAATGCATGGTCTTTGTGCATGCTGCTAGACACTTTTTTTTTTCCAGCCGAAAAGTCTTGTGTGATTTTTACATTTATAATTTTAATGTGGATGATCAGGATTAAATTAAAATGTATATTTGGAACCTAATATAAATGGAGCACTTAGAAATTTGATGTTCTGCACTTAACCTAGAGAGAGAAAAAATGATTTTCCTTGTGAAAAACCTAAATTCCTGCTCCGACCTTCTGTGACATGGAACCTCCGTGATCTGAGGCACACTCTGGTGTCTGAGGCAGAACCAAAGCAATAACGTTGTGATGCCATCAGGCCTAGAGCCCGCGAGCGTGCCGCGCGCCCCCAGATGCCAGGGCCTGTGCAGAGTACAGTGAGCGTCTGCACTGACAACCTTAAAACCATGATTTCAACATACCCACACCTGTTTGTCTTAAGCTATAGTGTGAAAACAGTTTGGGCTCTTAAAATTTAACTGAAAAAGATTTTCTTGTTTTGTAATTGGTGAGATAAAGTACTTAGATTTATAAGGCAGCTTCCCCGTAGAGGTAAATCACAAGCAGACAATCTCATTTTGTAATGTGATAAAGTGAACTGATGATGTCTTAACTCTACTTACAGAGTGTGTGTCTGTCTAACAGAACAAAACAGATGCTTGGTGTTAATTCCTTCCTGGAGGGCACACCCCAGGGTTCCTTTATAACCACATAGATAGAAGAAACTATAGGGCCTAATAGAGAAGCAAAGGTGTACCCAGATGTTGGCAAAGTCAAAAGCCCGTAAATTAAAAAAAAAAAAAAAAAAAAAGTGTTGGCGTTTGATTTTTAGGAGTTTGATAATTAGGTTGTCTCTTTCGTTAACTTCCATTCTTTTACGTCTTTTAGCTCAGCTACCTACGAAAATTGGCTGATTAAAAAATATACATAAAAGGGTAAGAATTCACACATAAAGCAAGCAAAAATGCACAAAGCCTGCTTTGTTTTTTTTTTTTTTTATTTTTTGCTGGAAGTGTTTTTCACTTTGCCTTCCTGCAAAAACAATAATCAAAGAACTTTTGCTTTAAACTATTCCTGTACAAAGACTACTTTTGACCAGATAATCATCTTTCGTGGCTTTTATCTTGTAGGACACAGTATCATTTTGGAAGGGACCAGATGCTACTTTTTCATGCTGTGCCCAGGGGGTCTTAAAAGCAACACTTAGGGACATTGGTGATAGGATGTGGCTGGGCCCCAGGGCCTTCCCACACTCATCAGCCTCCTGTCGTGTCTCTGCAGTGACAGTTGCCTGGTCCATAGAGTGGGCAGAGCACCAAAGGACAGCATTCCATTGGTCACGGTTTCTCCAAGTACACACTGACTCTGCTACTTTAGGATTCATATGTTTTACTCAGAGCTCTGAATTTCACAGTATACTTACTAAACTAAGTAAAGATGATAGTCAAAATACTTATTTTACTTTCTAGACCTAGGCTAGATACGTGTTAAGCTACAGCTCTAGTTCATTGTGATATTTATAATTGAGAGCTATGAGAATAGGTGTGTGGGTGAAGCCATAGAACATATTTGCTTGAAGTTCTTGAGCAGGGATCTTATAAAGGGCCAGAAATAAGATGTGTGGTTCACATAGATAGTGAGCGTAACATCTGTATTAAACGTAGGAGAGAAGTTTATAAAGGGCATTGGCAATAAACTCTTTGTTGCAGCTGTTTTCCAAGTAATGTAAATACTTCTTCCTGTGATTATGTATAGCCTTGGAATGGCACCTTTTAACTAACCCATATGTGTTTGGTTTTCAGTGGTTTTTTATATTCAGATGTATATATGGTGCTCACTTTTAGGATCAGCAGTGTTGACCATTTATGCTGCATAGCTGTATCATAGCCTTACTAGTTGTGTGTGGTTGGTTGACCCTCTGGGTATACAAATGTTAGTCTGAGTGGCGTCTTACTCATTTGTTCGTAAGTGAATGATTGTGCATGTGTTGTATGTCATAGTATGTCATCACATTAAAAGGGAGGGAGCAAATAACCATTACATTAAGATAATATTGGACCAAATGACTTACTTGCTCTAAACAGTTTCTTGTACCCCTTAACCTGTCTTCAGAAGTTGCATAGAGTTACAGTAGTGTGTAAATTAAATATTGTGGAAAAACAATTAGTCTTGTATTTTTCTGTATGTGTGTATATATATATATACATATATATACATATATATATATATATAAAAAATGATGTACTTCTGGCAGTTCTATCTGTATTTAAAGTTGTGACAATCTTGACACTGATTTTAAGAATAGCCGTGAGACTGACTCAAAGATGTCCCTTCCAAGTAAGAATTGATGTGTGTTAAGAGGGTACAGAATTATCAGCTGATTTGGTCGGTTGCTTCCACTGCTGGTTGATATTCCTCATTGTGTAAACATTGACAGGTATGTGACAAATGGGAAAAAAGAGTCCAAATAATAAAGTGGCATATCGGTGTTCAGCAATATAAACTGTGTCGCATATTTTGTTTCTTCTCATGAACGCAGCTCTGTATAGTCCCGGCCTGGGTTAGACCGAAGTTCTACGTGCTGTGTGCGCACCTGCACCACCAGATGTGACTGAAAAAATGCAGTCGTGACTGTTCTCACTTTAAACTCGTGACCATAAGCCTCAGGTGGGTCCCAGGACTGCCCATTAATTAAACTTTATTTCCCCAGTTATCTGCTTTCCTCACTCAGCCAGTCACCATGCTCTCAGTCAATAAACCAAAGCAGTTAGAACTGCCCCCAGGCTCCCACTTCTTCTTTCCTACCTTCGTATGTGTCCACATGCCCTGCTCTTCCTCCCGGTCGTGTGACTCCAGGTAAGTCCCTTCACTTGTGCCCCTGAAGACTTTACAGGTGTTAAGTGAGACAGACCTGAGGACTTTGCCATTCTCCTCTTCCCTTTGCACCACCAATCTTTGCCTCTCTACTAGATTATTCCTAACAGCAAACAAAACAAACAAACATGACTTTATTCCCTTAAATATTTTGTTTTCTCCCTATAGCTGTTGCCACCTTTTTCTGTTCCTCTCCTCACCTCTCTCTGAACCCTTCCAATCAGGCACTGCTGCTGTCACCCCACCAAAACTGCTTTGCTCAAGGTCAGCAGTGATCTCCATGTGCTAAATCCAGTGGTCAATTTTTAGAAACAGCTTTCAGGTATAATCCACATACTGCATAATTCACTGAGTCATATCGTACAATTCAATGGGTTTTAGTATATTGACAGAGTTGTGTGACCATTACCATAAACCCTAAAAGAAACCTTGTACCCGTTAGCACATTCTCCCTTTCCCCTCAACTCCCAGCCCAGCCTAAGCCAGACAAACACTAATCCAGTGGTCACTTGCAGTCCCACGTTAGCAGTTGTTGAGTTGATCACTCTTCCTTGCAAACTTCACGTTGTTCAGGACCCTACTTTGCTGCTCTTCAGTCCACTAGCTCCACGTTCTCCCAACCACTAAGCTTGGAATACTGCAGGGTTCGATTCTAGATCCTTTCTGTAGCTACACACAGTCTCTTGATCCTTAACATCCACGTGCTGATAGAAGCCCGAAATATATTTAGCCCACGTCTCCCAGGAACACCAGATTCCAGCTACCTATTTGATTTATTTGTCTGTTTGGATGTGTCCGATAAGCACCTCAATTTGTACAAGTCCCAAACTCATAATCCCCCTCAAATCCTTACCCTGCTAATGTTCCCCATCTCATAACTGACAACTCTAAACCTTCATTTGTTTTGCACAAGTCAAAAATCTTGGTGTCAGCCCTCACTCTTTGATCCCAGCATCCAATCCATGAGCGCATCTTATTCACCATTCAAATATTGACACCTCATTGCCTCCACTCCTGACATTCTGGTCCATGACACCATCAACACTTATCTTGGTCAACTATAAAATGCCTCTTAAAGGGTTTCATCACTTTTGCCTCTTGTCTCTCTCATCTGTTTTCCATTCAGCATTGTGAGTGATCCTTCTAAAAGCTAAAGCATGCTATGTTTTGAAAGGTGATTTATTTCCAAACATTTGAAGATTTTCCACATAAGTTTCTGTTACTAATTTCTAGTTTAATTCTGTTCTGTTCAGAAATCATGCTTTGTGTAATTTTTATTTTGTTTTAGTATATTTTATTTTTGGCTGCGTTGGGTCTTCATTGCTGTGCGTGGGCTTTCTCTGGTTGCGGTGAGGGGGGGGTCTACTCTTCGTTGCGGTGCGCGGGCTTCTCGTTGCAGTGGCTTCTCTTATTGTGGAGCATGGGCTCTAGGCGCCCAGGCTTCGGTAGTTGTGGCAGGCGGGCTCAGCAGTTGTGGCACATGGGTTCTAGAGTGCAGGCTCAGTAGTTGTGGCACCCGGGCTTAGTTGCCCCACGGCAGGTGGGATCTTCCCGGGCCAGGGCTCAAACCCGTGTTCCCTGCATTGGCAGGCGGATTCTTAACCACTGTGCCACCAGGGAAGCCCCTGCTTTGTGTAATTTAGATCTTTTTAAGCTTACTGAAATTTGTTTTATGGCCCAGCTAATGGCCTATCTTGGTGAATGTTTATGTGAGTGCTTGAGAAGTGCTCTTGCTGGTAAAGTGTTCTGTATGTTTAATACAGGTCAATAATTAACTCAAGTTGATTGATAATGGTATTCAAGTCTTCTGTATCCTTACTGATTTTCTGTCTCATTATATAAATACTGAGAGAGAAGGGTTGAAATCCAGCTGTGGTTATGGATTTGCCTATTTCTCCTTTTAGTTCTGTCAGTTTCACTTTATGAAATTTGGAGTTCTGTTGTTAGATTTAAGATTGTTAAGTCTTCGTGATGAATTGATCCCTTTCATCATTATGAAATGTTGCTCTTTATCCCTAGTAAATTATCTTTTGTTCTGAAGTCTACTTTGTGTGATACTGATATAGCCATTCTAACTCTTTTTGACTTGTGGAAGTGTATTTTACTTCTAACCTATCTGTATCTTTATATTTAAAATAGGAGTTTGGGGTTTTTTGTTTGTTTGTTTTTTTGTAGGCAGCATGTAGTTGGGTCTTGCTTTTTTGGTCCAGTCTGCAAATCTTTATCTTTTATTTGGAGTACTTAGACCAATTAACATTTAGTGTAATT